ACAGCATGACGCAAGAGCGTCGAGTCAGCATAGACTCCAGACGAGAGTCCAGATGTCGAAGCCAGGAAGTCAGCTCAATATGTAGTGTTGACGGCAGGGTCTGGACCCCAGTCCTCAAGTCAGACACGGCCGAGATCGATTGTCCTCGACGGCCTGGATTGAGTTGAAACTGTATCCTCCTTGGTCCACCGTTCTGACTGGGTACCTGAACACATACAAGTCAATGCACACGACCAAGGGCCTGGGCGAGGTACCTAGACCTACAGTTGACTTCGACCTTTGAATTTCTTACTGTGCGTGGTCACACAGCACCCGCAGCGGCCTGAAGTCGAGCAGCGCGTGGTCGCACTGCTCGCTGAGCCTGGGCTTGGGTTACAGCGCCCAGGCCGCTGTTGAACGCGGTTTACTGCATACAGACTTAGTGGATAATAATGCGACAGCGCAGAGGACGCTGCCTAGATAATGAATAAATACTGGTCACCATGGGAAGACAGACGAGGAGGGAGAATACATATCATGCATCGGGATAGATACCCCCCTCGTGACTCTGGTCCATACTCATCAAGATATGGAGGGAAATATTCCCCGACAAAATCAGGAAGCCACAGCAACGAAGAAGTCCTCAGACAACCCCTCTTTGGTTATCCACATTTAACCAATGTTAACAGTGATCCATGGTCCCTCACCAACGAAAATCACCAGTGAAAGGCATGGGTGGAAAAAAGAGGCTGGAGAATTCAGCACCTTTGGAATGAATGAAACACGTGCATGGAAAACACCGGGACAGATACGAGCCCGACTGGAAGGATGCCACAACCAAGACACTAACCAGGAGGAAATCCTAGAAAGCGTAGCACTGGCCCGGATATCACTCCTAGGGACATGCCCATTGGTCCCAAGGAGATCGGCCGAACAGTTATGGTCCACACACATGGATTGACCCAAATATATCTCGGTGAAAATGCAATCCAGGTACATGTTGGATGTTGTGTAGGTGGGTGAGGCCCTCAGTGCCTCACTGAACGTGATAGTAATAACTAATGTCACCTAACGATTGACCAGTCACTTGAATGTCTCTCTCATTCCTTGAAGAACCAGTCATTGGCCAATAGGTACTTCGAGAGAGAATAGCTTCTCTCTCTCTCTCTCTCTCTCTCTCTCTCTCTCTCTCTCTCTCTCTCTCTCTCT